TCTCCCTCGTGCAATATACTGTAGTTGATGGAGTGTGTGTGCAGGGACTTCCCAATTGAATGAATTTCTTTGATTCTGGCAGGTAGATTAATGAAAAGTTTTAAACTCATATATAAAAAGGGGATTTTCAAATAAACAGACTGGGAGTCTTGGGTATTGAAAGTCATTTTTAATAAACCGGGTTGGATAGTTATGTTCAAATTGGTACATTCTGTATGATTCTAAATTTTTTTTTTAAATACTAAAGTTTTGAATATATAAACACTAGGCATTATTAGTAAAATATATTGTTCAAATAAAGGATTACAAGATGATCTTTTTGATTCTCAGATACTTCTTTTGTACTTTAAATATTGATACTGCATATGAAGTTGAGCCCCATAGCTCAATACCATATTGCATTATGGAGTAAAATGTTGCATAATATACCATAAGCTTTGTTTTGAAATCAGTTATATTTTTTAAACATACATTTGAAAACGAGCTGTGTTTAGTTTCTTTACTTTAGTTTCAATGTGAAGTTTCCAGGTTAAATTTTGGTCCATGTTTATGCCCAAAACATTTGTGGTTCTTATAAGCGACAAAAAATCCCCATCATAGGGTAAATCAAAAGAGGCAAGTGTTTTGTTTTGAATTTGAATTGTTTAAAAATTTATTATTTGTGTCTTTGTACTATTTAGTTTCAATTCGTTAGTACTAAACCATCTTGACAGTTCATCAAGCGAGAGAATAAGTTTGGAGTTAAGGAGTCTTTAGCCTTGATTATAGCTGTGGTATCATCAGCGTATAGTAAGAGGTTTGATGATGAGTATTTTGGTTTGTCATTCATATACATACCAGGCATGGATTGCACATAAATAAAAATGGAAAGAAGTTCATCTCCAAGGAGATATTGAAAATAATATCTAATAACAAAAACAACAGCGTTTCCGGAAGCAGCATTACTAAGGAAATAGACCAAGAACACTCTGAAAAGCCTCCATTAACTTGCCCGACCATCCAGCAGATCCAACAACAAGACAACTCAATTTCTCCTACTTTGTCATCTTCTTTTTTGGGATTTTCCTCTCCAGATATGAAAAAGGTACAACACCTGCACGAGGTAATAGCTGGAGTGGAAGAGGAAACACAGAGAGAAGCTGGTGATTGTCTTGTTAATATAAAGAAAAATGAAAATAGTTGTAAGCTACGTGAAGATGTACATAGTTATAATACCAGAAACAAAAGTCTGGTTGATTTACCGCAGTGTAGACTACAATCAACTGTCAAAAGTCATTTTGTGTCAGAAATTAGGTTTTTTAACAACTTGAATTGTGAATCAAGGTCACTTCCTTTTAAGGTTTTCAAAAGGAAATTGTCTGTCTGGCTTTCTGCAAACCCCTTTTACTGTACCAAAGAATTTTTTAAATTATAAAAGGTATAATGTTACCTGGATCTGCCAGAGTAATCCAAAGGCTGTCTGTCGAAACTACGCGTTTCAAATTTTTAAACATGGAAATATAGTGTTATAAGTCATCAATTTGATTAAACTTTTTTATCTTTGTTGATTATTATTAGAATTCCATTCAGTATTTTTTTATTGTCATCTTTTAGTTGTTAAAAATTATATCTTAGTTATCAATAATTTACACTGTGTATGTCTAATGTTGGTCGTTTTCATGTTTACAATTAATTTAATGCAGCCAATCTCAATCTGTGATATAATTTATAGCTACTGTGATATTATTCTGTGTATTAGTTTAAGAAAACTGGAAAATTTTATTTAGGTAGATCCTGAGAACTAAATTAGAATATTATAGCATGCCATATTGTCTATTGTCAACTACAATGTAGCCAAAATTAGGATTTAGTTATTTTTTGATAATATTGTATTGTTTAAAGATGGAATAAATGACTATTCATTGACTACAAGAATAAGAGTGGGCCTAAAATCGATCCTTGCGGGACCCCACAATTTAATTTTTGCCATTCCGATGTAAATTTTGTATTGTCTTTAATTATAATTGTCCTCTGGTATCTGTTTTCTAAATATGAATTTACCCAAGACAAGGCCAAATCAGAAAATGTATAATAATTTAGTTTTGTTATTAAAATTTGGTAATCAACACAATCAAAGGCCTTAGATACATCACAGAACACAGCTGCAGTGTGCTCTGCGATGCATCCAAACCACCCGAGACCTGATTTATGAATTCAATTACTGCTGATGTTGTACTTCTACCAGATCTAAAGCCAAATTGGTTGTTGGAGAATAATTTGTTGGTTTCAAAAAAAGAATTTATCTGATTGTAAGAGATTTTTTCAAAGATTTTTGACATAGAGGGTAGTAATGATACAGGACGATAGTTGTTTGGTTTTGTTCCCTTCTTATGTAAAGGTTTTAATTCAGCATTTTTAAGTTGGTAAGGATAGATACCCTCATCGAAACATTGATTTATTATTTTACATAATGGAGATGAAATTGAACCAGCTGTTTTTTAAATTAATTCCATAGGGATTTGGTCCCACCCAACTGATTTAGTATTATTTAGAGACATGATAGTTTGCCTAATCTCAGCAATTGAGGTATGCTTAAACTGAAAATGAGCTTCTCTTTCTACATATAAGTTGTTTGTAAATTCTGTTGCCCTAATCAAACTTGTATTGCAGTCAATTTATTGTGCAATGTTAGTAAAATTTTTATTTAAAAAAATTGCAATTTTGCACCATTGTTTAAAGATTTATTATTTATTATTTACAATGAGCCTGTCAGAACGATATATGGACTGCTTTTCGACCCAGGATTTCCAAAAGAACGTCTGAAAAAGAAACTAGCCAAAGATAAATGTGTGGTATCAGTTTTATGACGATTTTTGAGTTTTAGTTTGAAATGTTCACATTCGTTGAAATTAATTGATAAATCAATAAAAGTTATCTTTACACAATCTTTTGTCTATTTGAAATTGTAGGTAAAAATTATTTTGAAGCTTTATGGTGGGGATCAATGGCATTATGGCCCTGATGACTCTGCTCAATTTTGTGGACGCATCTGCGAATGCTAAACTGTAGAATGGGGTGAATAGAAACACTTTTTGACTTTAAAGCTTCTGTAAAAACGATATTTTTAATTTTTGAATTTTCAACACTAGCTCATATTTTCGGTCTTCGACTCCTCTACACAAACAAGTTATCAATTTTTTTTTCTTTTTAATCATTAGGTTTCGGGTACGATACGAGCGGCGAGCGGTGGCGGGGGTGGCTACAATACAAGCGGCACATTTATAACGCTCATCAAATTTCCCCACTTTTATGAGTCAGTTTAATCGAAATTGGTAAACTATGCTTACATGCAAGACGTATTGCAACTATTGTTGCTATCTGACAATTGTTTGACTTTAAAGATAAACTTAGTTTTTATAAAAACCTTAACCCTAACTTGGTCCCATACTTTTCTGGTGACTGAAGTGTTTTAAAACTTCCGTGATGATCATTGCACAGGCATTCCCTGGACTGCAAGTCACGTATCGACCCGTATCGCATGTTTGCTGTTGTTTCTCTGTCATTTTAGGCCGAACTGAAGCATGACTCACCTGAGCGGCGAGCGGCGTTTTTGCGAAAATCGGTTTTGACTTGGAACCATGAGCGGCGCTGAGCGGTGCCGCTCGCCGCTCAGACGTATCGTGGCCACCCTCAACAAATTTACACGCAACTAAATGAGACCCGATGTCAGAGCGGCGCCGCTCATGCCGCTCGCCGCTCGTATCGTACCCGGGGCCTTAAGCAGAAAAAAAATAAAATATGGCTGTTTCTATTCACCCCGCACTTTGGGGTGAATAGAAACACTGTGTTATATTGATGATTGTTGCTTTTCCACACTTACCAGGGGCAATAGAAACATGAAATTTATGCTTGTTAGCTTAGTTTGTTGTAAATAAAAATATTTAAAGTTAATTAACACATTTATTTATAAGTACGAAGTATAAAAACATCGTTTTCATAAACCCTTATCCAAACAAATCGGAGAACATAAATGACAATGGGTGAAATCAGAGTTACAAAATCTTACATAGAAACCAACTAAATGATGAGTAAAATCAGACAAATCTTCCTCAAAATACAACACTCCCTTAAATTTACAAGTTGTACACGGCTTGGGAGTTGGAAGCCGACATACTACGTCATCGACTTTGAAGAGGGCCTCTTAATCTGTCTCTCAGAACTTGTTGGTTTGCGCAATTTTCCCTTATGAATCTTCCTATTTATCCTTCCTCGTCAAATTCAATAACTTTTGCAACATATAAACGATAGCAAGTTTTGTTTTTCCCCATTACTTTGACAATTACATGATCATGAAGGGACAACTTTGAAGACTCACTGATGTCTTGAGCTAGGTATGCTGGTTCTTCTTTATCAAATTGTTCGTCTTTGTCACTTTCTTCCAGTGAGAAGTGTGTGTGGAATCATCTTCATCTCTGGTATTTTTTTTCTTTTTTGGGGGGTTTTCAGGTCAACCTTTATTTGCACCACTGGTTCCAAAAAAAGTGTTTCTATTCACCCTGGTTTTGCAAAATCATGACATAACCTAAATAAAAAATAAAATAAAAAAATATAGTTTATTCTAAGGCTAATCTATTAACACACTTGGTTTCAAGATACCTAAGACAATATAAAAAATGGTCATTAACATAAATACATGTAATAGGTTCATACTTAGAGAGAAAGTTTTGAAAAGAATGTTTTTCGCCAAAATTTTCAAATGATGTTTCGCATCATCCAACATCCGAAGCAGTGATACCAATATGCTGAAATAATTTTTCCCAGGTAGATAGGATATGGTTATAATGGGGGAAAATAATTCCCTTATATAAAGTCAATGTATAACAAAGTTATAAAAATGTGAATCATTCATTGAAGTTTTGTTTCTATTCACCCTGTTGTTTCTATTCACCCCATTCTACGGTACTTAGTTTATTTATATTTGTGTGTACCATTGTTTTAATGGGTTTTTTTTATGTTTTTAGATAGTAGAACAATTGGAACGCTTAAACATTGGGCAGAAACTAGCAGAAAAAGCACATGGACAACTTTCTAGATCAAAACCTGTGGTGGTGTTGAAACGACTAGGGTAAGAATAACATTCAATATAAACAAGTAGTGAAAACTGGCGTTGCCCGGGGCAAAATAAAACGTACAATAATGGTAATTAAAATTAATTTGAAAGCAACAATTGTATTGATGTTTAGCCTAAGTACTGCATTTCTTTGAAAACGTTTCAAGTCTGGTATTGCTCAGTTCATATAAGTTAGCATGTTGGTACTTGTAATTATGGTAATAGTTGAGTGAACGAAGTGAACAAATCTATATATCGTGTATAGCGGAGTCGGAGATTAGTTGTCTGCTTGTCTGTTTGTTACTCTGTGTGTTCACATCAAAAACTCAAGAACCGTTGCACTTATAGCGGTCAAACTTTGCACAAATAATTATGACACCAATGGCTATTAAATTAAAAAGCCGATTTCAGGATAAATAAATAAATAAATAAATAAATAAATAAATAAATAAATAAATAATAAATAAATAAATAAATAAATAAATAAAAAGGCCTTAATTTACAAGCCAGTTTCATATACATGATTTTCAAACTTACTCAAGTCAAACTAAAACTAAACTAACCTAATATATACAGAAATATATTAGATATTGTCCAAATAATTAATGTGTTAAACTTACAACATCCCAACAATGAAAAATCAAATTTTGAGGTTGTCCAAAAGGTAAGTCCAATATGCACTGAATTTAAGTGAGTTTAAAATTCAAATTTATACTTAATTTGGAAAGAATGTGAAAACTGAGTCCTCTTGAGGTTAATTGTAATATAAATTTGATATAAACTGGGTTTTCTTATTGCAATTAAGTTAAATTTAATTTGGATAAAATCTCATGACTTCTTTTTTAACAGTTTTTAACTATGGCTTCCTTCTCTTCAGTCTTCTTCAATCTCAATGTTCACATGGGTCTATTGTTGAACACATGGATCACTGTTTCACTGGCTTAATTTAATTTTGATTCCTTAAGGACTAATTTTGAAAACTTATATACTAAAAAACTTTTGCGAAACTTACGACAGCTAGCCTGGCCATACTACTGGACCGAATTATACGCTGTTGGTACAGAATGAAACATATTCTCCTGTAGATGTGCAGAATCCCTTTATACATTAAAATAGGCCCAAAAATAAGCACGTAAAATGAATTTGAAATTTAAAAAAATTAACATGGGCCTTATGGGTTGCCATGTTGGTAACGAAATAACAACAAAATATAAACAGAAAATCTAAAAAAATGGAAGAAATTCCAATCACATGTTTTATTTACAGCGTGGGGTAAAAGTAGAAAAGTAGTCCAGGAGCTGAGGGGGTTTGAGCATGCATGAAAGTAGTACGCAATGTTATCGCTGATTATTGTAATATGGACTGTGGTGATCAAAATTACGTATGTCGCCTATTTCAAAAGTGGTCGATAAGGTGGGGGGGAGGGGGCAAACATGGCGGTTTGCGCTATGCGTTTAAACGCTGATAGTTCGAAAACGGTAAAAGATAGAACATCGGTTAAAACGTCTTTGGAATTCTAAAAATGTGGACAACAATAATGGTTATTGGGTCCGAGGTCGTATCTCTATAAATAAACAAGTTATTGTATAAAATATGTAAACATGGACTTTTCGTGTAGTTTTTTTTACCGAAAGTAGAATTAATTTGTGAGTGTCGCAAAGAAGTAATATCAAATATCTTTGCTGATAGTTGTAATATGGACTGTGGTGATAAAAAATACGCATGTCGCCTACTTTTAAGGTGGTCGAGAACTTGGGGGGAGGGGGGCAAAGATGGCGGAACGCGCTATGCATCGAAACGACTGTAGCTCGAGAACGGTACGAGATAGGACATCGGTTAAAACGTAGTTTTAATCCAAAACATATTACCAATAGAAAAGGTCATTGGGTAAAAAGTTGTATCTTAACTAATAAAAAAGTTATAACAATACTAAGTTTAACAAAATCTACATCGTACAGCTATTTTTTTCGAAAATCGTATGGATTGTTGATAAATAATAGTGCAATTACTTAATTACTCGGCTAAATATTAACTAGATGCATTTTCTTATAAGAAAAAAATATATTATTACGAATACATTTGGTTTAAAATGTAAAACACGGCCTCCAAACTACATATAATACTTGGGGTTTCGCCGCAATCAAATGCATAATACAGACTACCACTACAAATCCAATTTTAATTATTATAAAGTTGTAGGTTATTACAATATGATTATGTAACAGATTCTTATTCAGTTATGCCAGTTATTCAGTTCTTATTAACAGTTGTGCCGATATCAGCAGCACTGCGCAGCAATTATGACGCAACCTATCGGACGAACCCCAAGACGTTTGGAGGCCGTGTTTTACATTTTAAACCAAATGTATTCGTAATAATATATTTTTTTCCTATAAGAAAATGCATCTAGTTAATATTTAGCCGAGTAATTAAGTAATTACACTATTATTTATCAATAATCCATACGATTTTCAAAAAAAATAGCTGTACGATTTAGATTTTGTTAAACTTATTATTGTTATAACTTTTTTATTAGTTAAGATACAACTTTTTACCCAATGACCTTTTCTATTGGTAATATTTTTTGAATTAAAACTACGTTTTAACCGATGTCCTATCTCGTACCGTTCTCGAGCTACAGTCGTTTCGATGCATAGCGCGTTCCGCCATCTTTGCCCCCCTCCCCCCAAGTTCTCGACCACCTGAAAAGTAGGCGAAATGCGTATTTTTTATCACCACAGTCCATATTACAACTATCAGCAAAGATATTTGGTATTACTTCTTTGCGACACTCACAAATTAATTCTACTTTCGGTAAAAAAACTACACGAAAAGTCCATTTTTACATATTTTATACAATAACTTGTTTATTTATAGAGATACGACCTCGGACCCAATAACCATTATTGTTGACCACATTTTTACAATTCCAACGACGTTTTAACCGATGTTCTATCTTTTACCGTTTTCGAACTATCAGCGTTTTAACGCATAGCGCAAACCGCCATGTTTGCCCCCTCCCCCCCACCTTATCGACCACTTTTGAAATAGGCGACATACGTAATTTTGATCACCACAGTCCATATTACAATAATCAGCAATAACATTGCGTACTACTTTCATGCATGCTCAAACCCCCTCAGCTCCTGGACTAAAGTGTGCAAAAAAGCCCTACATACTTTTGGTCGTGTTTTCGACCACGGGGCGAGCTCTCGTTATATCATAAGAAATTTTTATGTATTGCAATTCTCTTACATATTTAATAAGGCTGTGGTTTCCTAGACGCGTATTAGATGCGCTGCGTGTGCGCATCTAAGACGCAGCACACTTGTCTTATGGAGTTTCGTGTAAGCGGTTTCCAAGGCTGCGTATCTAATGCGCGCGCATCTAATACGCGCGCACCAATAGCTGCGTATTTGACCGACTGCTTTCGGAGCAGTCGAATCTGAGTTACGCTGCGTTTTAGACATGTCTTATGCAATGGATTCGGAAGTAAATGTTGTACAGAAGGCAAAATTCTCACACGACAAAAAATTGGTTAAATTTGGTTTCCTAATGACATATTATGGAAATAATTTTTCATACAATTAAAATTGTATAGTATTATATTTCATATCATTCGTTATGTAGTGTTAATTTCCCCATAATGTGTGATTTTAATAGTTGATTCTCTTGTTACATGTTCCCTACAATTAATTTGAGCTCACATATTTTCTTATTGTTGCTATTAGTAAATAAACCTACCATTGATAAATATTCATTTCAAATCAGTACAACACCAACTCCCAAATATTAGAGCCCCCATAATTATTTTAAGAACTCTTGAACATCTTAGTAATAACTCTATATTAATTACTAGCATAGTAGCCTACCCAAACTTCTTACGGGGTTGGCGTATAAGTATAAAATGATTATTGCAGTTATACTTCTAAAAGGTATTTTCATCGATTTGGTAAATCCCGAATAGGTAAATATAATAACAGTAAAAGCAAAGTTGGACAGGGTAAATTAAGATTTATTGTTTACATCAAATAGACATGTTTGCCTTAACACTACAGTTAAAAGATGCGTGAGGGCCACGTACAGTTCCTAACATATACTTTTCACTGCTTACGCTTCTTCAAAGCTGTTAATGCCAAAATATCCATGTCATTATCTAAATCATCGTACAACATCATAGTAGCCACTAGTAATCTCTCCCATGAACTTATGTTACGCACCAACCGTGTGTATTGTACGCAGTCTAGGAAACCACTCACGTCGGCTGCGTTTTGGGACCTGGATAAAAGACGCAGCGCATCTAAACCGCTGCGCATCTATTACGCGTCTAGGAAACCACAGCCTAAATAACTAAGTTGTGTCCTTAGTAAAAATATATATAGGCTATGGAATGAATATTACTAATGATACATAGATTAATGGAAATGTATAAATGAGGTAAATGAATACTAGGCCAGCCCTATCATTTTAAATCTGGATGACTTTCTGAGGAGTGATAAATAGCAAGGGTATATGAACAAAAATTAACAGAGGTGTATGAACAATATTAACATATTTTAAGAAACTTAATACCAAATGATGAATGAATGAAATGAAATATTACAGCTCTGTAACACAAAAGAGAATTTTTAAATAATCGTTTTACAGTTTAATTGTTTTTAATAGTTAATATAAGGCATCTATAAATGAATTTACATTGAAGAAATTAAATGAGCTTTTTAAATATAGTTGTGTTGTATGTCCTTTGAATTTAATGAATTTACATATAAGATGCTTATAAATGATGCTTAAGGTTTAAAAATGAGTACTAAATAAATACCCCCGCCTCAGCAAACCTGCTGCCGACTAAGCGAATTTCCATTTGTCTGAATTGATTTTCATTAAATATATTTAAATAACGTAAGGTTTAACAAGTACCTAGGTTTGCTGCTACTAGGAAACTAATAAAGTGTGTTTTTTAGTCAAATATTAATAGCTTAGTGTAAAATAAATAAATTTGCCAAGTTTGATCAAAA